AAATTCTTTAAAATATTGGAAGGGGAAGGCATTGATGAATTGTAGTAAGCTTTTCTACTTTTGATTGGTAAATATAGTTTTTACTTAATAACAATAACAACCAACTAGTAAAAAGTAATACAGAAATTAAAACAATATAAAACTATAAATTATTCCAATTAAAATGTTTTAAAAAATGAAAACAATTCTTGTAAAAATACATTACTCATCAAAAATTTTTTTAAGACAATAATATATCCTATTCATAAAAGCAACTAAAAGCTTTTGTCATTAAATGTTTTAGTTTAATTGCATTTTTTATTTTACGATTCAGAATAAATTTTTGGTAACTAAGGGTCCTGTTTTCCAAAAAAAAAAAAAAAAAAAATCAATGATTTAAATTCTTAAAGGAATTCTGTATATAACTAATACAAACATTAAGCAGTACAAAAATTACATTCTCAAAGTGGGGGAGGGGATAGCTGATAGAAAAAAAAAGTTTTTGCAAAGATTTTCTGAAAAAGAAACATTTCTAAAATAATTTCAATCATTTGTGAATAAGACCTGAAAGATTCATTAAAATCCAACAAATATTTGATTTTTGCAAGAATTTTTTCAAGAATTTTCAAATCAAGGTTTTTCACCACAAAAAAGATGCTAAAATTTCATATACTAATATTACCACACAAATTTTTAACCAAAATTTCAAATGTTCGAAAAGTTAAAAAAAAAAAAAAATTAAAAAAATAAAAACATAAAAAATCCTTTGGTCTTTCCACTTAATATTAGCAAAGATTTTGACGATAAAAGTTCGTGTTTTTAAGTTTGAGGCATTTATTTTTTTTTATTTTTTTATCATAGCATGTTCACTTTTTAGTGTATGTGTGGCGGTACTTTCTTTTAAGTATTACAACTGCAGGTATTCAAAAAGGTCACATTTTCACACTTTAAATAAATGACAATCAGAATAAGTTATTTCCCTTTAAAGATTTTTTCTCTCCCTTTAAGCATCTTTTTCGAGTTATGTCCCTTTAAACCCAACTTTCCGGACAAATCTGAAGTTTTATTTTGATAAAATGAAGACCAATTTGAAATATAGCCAATTTATTATTTAATACTACCATTTGCATCTTTCCAATATCAAACATACAATTATAAAGTTCACATTTAACTCTTCTTATGATTCTACTGAATTTCTAATAATATGCATCTATAAATATTTTAGAAAGAAAAAAAATAATTTATATTAATCAATAAATCAAAAAAAATTCCAGTGACTTATCTGTCTAGCTAACTCAAGTGTTTCACACTAAAACGCTCATCAGAGTCAGAGGTTTGATAAATATTTTTCAAACATTATCAAATACCTCACCTTGATGAGCATTTCGATTTGAAATTCTTAAGTCTGCTAACTAATCTTGATTTATTGAATATTATTGCTCTAGTTCTCTGTTAAGAACTTTTTTCAGAAATTCTGCTAGCCTTAAAAAAAAAAAAAAAAAGTTAAATTTTTATAATTTTCACGTTTTTTCTTGTATTATCGTTATTAACAATATTATTGAAAGGTTTTTCATTCTTTCATGCAAACATAATCAATTGAGACAAGAAACATTCATAAACACAACATAAAACAAACTGTTTTAAGCAGTTCATATTCAAAATTACATTTCCCAATTCTCAAGACACATTTTGGATTTGTCCAGCAAAATTTTAGTATTTTTTTTTTAATTAAAAAATATTGAGTGTACAGATGAAGTAAGATACATTTTGGTGAAACTGTCTCAGTAAAGACTCTTTTTTTTTGGCAATAAAATATAGTTTAAGAATAAGAATTCTTCTATTTGCACATATTTCACTGCATTTTCTTTGTGTATGGTAGCTCAGCAGGAGTGAACTTAAAAAGAATAAGTAATTTGGGGCATGATCAAGTTTGTGTTTTTCTTTATTTCATAATATAGTAATTCTCTAGAGTAAGGTAGCACATTTTTGAGACTAATTACTAATAACACAGTGATTAGTTTAGCTACTGATACTGAAAGGAAAAAATATTTTCTAAGATTATTTCTTAATATTTATTACACTAAATATTACTAAGAAGTCATTCTGGCAATATACACACAAGTTCAAATTAATATCAAAGAATTTGATTCTAAGGAATTAAATGTTGAACAGAGAATAATATAACAATTTTAAAGACTGTAAATTTTCAGGTCTATTTTGGTGAGAAAAAAGTATTTTAGACAACAAAGAATATGGTAAAGTATTTTAGACAACAAAGAATATGGTAAATCATTTCAACAGACTAAATATATGTAATGTAGTTGTTATTTTTCATTTGTAATTCACTCGCTATTATTAAGATATATTCTATTAGGTTGTCACACATGAAATGAAACAATTTCTGGCTGGTTGTTGATCCGGTTGTCTGACAAAATAATTTCCTTAGTACATAAAAAAAAATCTTGATTTATTCCTGGCTCTTTTTCTTTCCAGATAATTTTTCTTTCAATATATTGTTACACATATGTCCAATAAAAAAGATTACAATGAAACAATGTCAAGTAATCTTACTGTACGAGTACAAACTGGGGAAAAAAGGAACCATTTTTGCATCAAATGATTACATGCATTGAGAAATGGATACTCTTTAACAGTATGAGAGTAGGCCAGTGGTTAGGTGCAAGTGAATCACCAAAACAATACCCAAAACTACCACTGCACCCTAAAAAGTTAATGGTTATGATATGGTGATCTTTAAGAGGTTATTCATTATTCCTTCTTGCCTCAAGGGAAAATAATAAAAGTAACCTCGTATTGTGGAGAAATTAAGTGTATGTGCAAAACATAAAAAAAGGAAACATCTTGGTCTTGTAAATAAGGATGGCCCAATTTTGTTACACAGCTGCACATTTCTCAATCAACTGTCCAAAAGCTGAATAGTGTGAATTATGAAATTTTGCCTCATCCTCGTACTGATTATCACTTATTTAAGCAATTTAAGCTTTTCATATGCAATAAAACATTCTTCAATAAGGAAGAGATAATTTAATGAGAATTTTTTTAAAGATGGGATCAAGAATTTAGAGATATGTTAAAGAACAGTTATTCATCAACATAGCACCTATTTCAATTATAATAAATTAGTTATTTAACATTTCAGAAGTGTTTTATTCATTTCCTATAAAGTGTGTCATTTCATGTGAGGTAACCTAATATATATCAGACTATCTTCCAATACAGTGACAACTACAAAAAAATGGATAACCAGCCTTGCTGCAAGACCTAACACTGCTTTTTTTACAATTTTGTCTTTTACTTTATAGTGGATTGACGTGACTATCCAGTGTGTAATAAGTCATTGTTCCTTATTTAATGCACACACACACACATATATATATATATATATATATATATATATATATAAAACTTTTCTTCTAAAAAACGTTTGGTTTGAAGAGATGAATATAAAATATTCATGAAATAAATTATAACAGACGGATTTTAAAGGTTTTTCTTGATTTATTATATTGCACTGTAACTTACATTGAGTTCTCTTTGGAATAATATCCTCCATGGAATTATTCCTACCAATTACAAATTGGTATATATATATTATTATTATTAAAAGGTATGAGTTCATGCCTTTTAATAATAATTATTGCTCTGTCTCTAACACAGAGCTCTCCCTGGATTTATATCCTTTTGGAAATATCTATACTGATCACTAATATCATCAATATATATAATACAAACATATTTATATAATGAGCTTTCACCCCAGTTATTGGACTCATTAAAATAAAAACCTAAACTAATTTTTGATTAGTATTTCTTTCATCTTAATTTCAGTTGCTATTCATTTTAACTACTTATACAGTTATTCTTTAAACAACACAAACTTGAAATTAGATATAAGCTCATTCCTTAGAAAACCTATCTTAACATGATAAAAATCAAAATGAAAAAAACAAAAGCAAGATACTTCAAACAGTTTAATATAACAATATGTATAAAGATGAAATAAGTCAAAAGCTAATAATTGGCAGGAAAATTCAACCACTTTAAGTTTATCACCTATTTTCACAATTATTAAATTCTATAAACATTAATATTATCTTCACTTTCAGAATTACTTCTGTTCCAATACAATGCATAATTCTTATTTTTAAGTGCTTCCAAATTATTTACCCATCACATATTCGAAAAAAAAAAAAAAAAAAATTTTTCTGAATGAACTAAATTTGAGGAGAAATATGGAGTAATCATATATTTATGGAATATATGGAGTAATCATATATTTATGGAATATATGGAGTAATCATATATTTATGGAATATAAAACACCTAACATCACTAACTTTACTAAGGACTACAAAAGGCAGGAAGTCAAAGAGCGCCATGATCACCCACACCCTGATGTTTTCTGATTGATTCTTTCATTTTCTACGGCTTATCAATTCTTTGCAGGTTATTTAAAACCAGAAAATATTTTTTGATTGTAATATTTTTTTTTAGATATTGGTTTAGGTATACAAGTTTTACTAATTAACCTGTAGCTGGGGAAATAAGGTGTATTCATAACTTTTCCAAGGATATTTGCATATGTTATGAATATAACAAACCCAACAGCAATTGGAACTCAGCTCTCTGATTAGTAATTCTGAACCATTATCCACCTGCACATCCAAGCTTACATTGTATTCCTAAGTGGTCACCCATCTAGGTACTGACCAGATTTGATGTTGCTTAACTGGTGATCATACAGGAATCAGGGTTTCAGCATGATGTGGTCATAAGCCACACCCTGAAGGGACATGGCACATAGATGATGGAGAAAGTGGGGTCTTATATGCCATCAAATAAAGTAAAAAAAAAAAAATATGTCTGACAATAGGAAAGTTTCTTAGGATATTGCTTTTATGTTTATACCAAAGAAACATCAAAAGTCATGAACTTTCTTTTTATGCAAGCCAAGAAAAAGAAAAAAAAAGAAAAAGTAGGTTTCTTTTATGCAAGCCTACCAAGAAAAAGAAAAAGAGCAAAAAAAAAAAAAAGAGACAAAAAAAAGAGAGACAAAAAAAAGAGACAAAAAAGAAAAGAGACAAAAAAGAAAAGAGACAAAAAAAGAAAAGAGACAAAAAAAGAAAAAGAGACAAAAAAAAAAAAAGAGAAAAAAAAGAAAAGAGACAAAAAAAGAAAAGAGAAAAAAAAGAAAAGAGACAAAAAAGAAAAGAGACAAAAAAGAAAAGAGACAAAAAAGAAAAGAGACAAAAAAGAAAAGAGAAAAAAAAGAAAAGAGACAAAAAAGAAAAGAGAAAAAAAGAAAAGAGACAAAAAGAAAAAGACAAAAGAAAAAAGAAAAAAAAAAGAAAAAAAAAAAAAGAAAAAAAAAAAAAAAAAAGAAAAGAAAAAGTAAGCTAATATTTTAATCAACTTACTTGTTCAAGACAAAGTTTGAGGCAAAAAGCATGAAAAGGCTCCATTCATTCCCTTGACAACTGTATCCAAGCTTGGCGAGTTCGTAAGCAAGTCGTCCAAGTCCTGCACCTGGGACTAACACAAACACTGTAGAGGGATCACTGAAAGAACAAAGACAGGCCCATCGGTTTTAACAAGGCACACATACATGTGCACACACTCTCAAGAAATTAATAAAACAGCAAAGTACAATTTTATTATTATAGATTTTTGATCCTGTGCTCCAAGCTCACCAACACTCAATTTTATTTTAGTTTGTATTTCCTGAAATGATTCAAACAGTTATTTAGATGATTGTTCTCATTCTGTTTGTTGTAATAATATCTTGGCTGATCCATTCTACAGCCTTCTTCAAGTATACAATCTATATAATGGAAAGGAGTGGAAGCTTCTTTCTCTTGATGAGTAGCAGAAACTAGAAAATCTATATTGCTCATACACTGGCCTGAGGAAAACCCATAAACTGGATCAGCTGAAATATTACAGTAAGAAAATGAACGAGTTCAATAATCCAACAACTCTTAGAATTAAAACTCATTGCAAAATAAGATGCCTTTCCTGAAACAAACTTCATGATTCTATTAAAAAAAGTGGTCAACAAATAAATTAAAAAGACTTCTACATGGGTGGACTTGAATATTTCCCATAACCCAAGAGATCATCAAGGTGCCATACCAAGTAGTTCTCTTTTATGGTATCTCCATTATTTGGCAGTGTCCATCTTCTACAAGTTAAACCGAATTACATGGCACCAGCAGCAAGGAATGATCCTTTACCTGATCTATTAGATATTAAAAAAAATCTAAGATTAAGTTCTGGCAATGTTTAACCTTCATGCCTGCAGCAAGTGAAAAGGATGGTTTTTCCCTTGACGCCACTATTATTTTTACTACCTTCACTCCTCAGCAATGTGTATTGTTTTAAAAAGCGATGATCAGAATTGTGATAAAACCTAAACATATGATGAAAGTGAATTTATACATTTTTTTTTGTTCTTGAGAATTTACAACAAAACTATTTAACACTATTAAATTGTTTATTGGAATGGTGAGCAGAATATTGACTAATTGTCAATCAATTCAAACTTTATAAAATGGTAAATAAGGATTTCATTATAGTTGGTTCATATATTTTTTTAATTTAGTAAATGTTTATGAATTTATAAATAAAAAACGGTTTTCATATTTATTCTTTATAAATTGGTAAATGATAAATATTGCACTGTATTAGTTTTGATACAATTGTATTAGGTTTTAGAATGTTATAAATATAAAGATATTCATGTAAATAAACAATCTAATACAGTTTAATATTTTTGCTATAAATTCAAGAACAAAAAATTGTACAAATTCACTTTCATCCTATGTTTAGGTTTTATTACAATTCTAATCATTGCTTTTTAAAACAATAAACATTACTGAGGAGTGATGGTAGTTAAAATAATATCAGCGACAAGGGAAAAACATTTTGACACACTAGTTTCTGGGTTTTTTTTGTATGCATGAAGGTTAAACATTGCCTAAGTTTCTTTACATGTCTAAAGAGCTACCCTGATATTTATCCATAAATAGAAAGAGTGCATTCATCCCCTTCTCAAGATTGTTAGTTTCAAGTTAAATGTCCTAGTTGAAAATTGAATTCTATGTGGTGTTAATGCATTAAGCCACATCACCTTTAAAAAAAATAAAAACATTTATAGAAGTAAGTAAAATCTTAAATATAAAAAATATACAAAATCCAATGCAAACTAGGAGTTAGTTTTATTATAAGACAGCAAAGATGAAAACTGAACAAATTATCTTGTTAAACTACTACTACTTTCTTCACAGTGGCTTACAGTCAAATGACACTGAAAATAGCAGTTCTCCTTCAATCAACAAATTTAAGCATTGTTGAACTCAATCAATATTTAGATGGAGAGTCGCTTCGGAACACCAGGAACTGTAAGCAACCTCCTACAATCTGAAATATGTTTCAGCTTTAAATAACCTACAAAGGGTTGATAAGCTGTAAAAAAAAAAAAAAAAAAAATCAATTTCAAATACTGATTTTCATAGTAAGATCAGTGCAAAACTTATTTACAGACTAATATCTTCATCTTATCACAATGTTTCAGCTATTGTGCCATCCAGCCTTCTTCAGGTGTGTAAAGACAAGTGGATCAAAGTGTTAGTTCATGAATTTGGTGGCATAGTAATTGTGAGTTCAATACCTAGCCTGGGTAATACAAATTTAAAAAACAGAATGAGCAATAACCGAGCAGCACAGGTGTGTGTGTGTGTGTGTGTGTATATATATATATATATATATATATATATAGCCGGCCACTTGTATTCAAGGATACCCATCTACTAGGGCGGCTAGCCAATCCCTTGGCAGACTCTTGCTCAGGCATATTTGTGTTGGCTCAACACCCACAGAGCCTACCTGTGATTTATACTGCAGCTATACTGAGCAGACCTTAGTTACAGTTTCTGGGAAAGAGCTTGTTATCTAATGTGATCAACAATTTGAACAAGGCCAGTACGCTCAAGCCTTCAGCCACGATGACTTGTGACTTTGTGCTAGCACAGCTATCGATGGCCCCCAAGGATTCTGTCTACCCAATTTCACTCACAAGGCTTGGGTTAACCCGTGGTGTGGTTTTCAGGCACTTTTCAAAAGGTGCTGCATGCTGGGATCAACCCCTTCAGTCTGATAACATCAGGAAGTCTCCTTGACAAATCAACCATGATGAGATTCGAACTGGGGGTCTCATGGTCAGTATGTGAAAGTTCTAACCAATTGGCTATGTGCCCATGACCAAGCAGAATAAAAAGAAGAATACATGATATCCCTAGACATGGGCAGCAAAGAACAACCTACCCTTGTAGATTAAACAAAGGGCTCAGTTTGAAATTACTTGAAAGTTACTTCAGAAACCTGAAGAAGACTAGGGAGCACAATGCTTGAAATTTGATAACAAAAAAAGATAAGGACATTAATCCAAATCTACATAATATAAATAATGATATGACAGAAAAAAAAAATGAATCTTCAATATCCAATTTACAACTATTTGGCCTTGTGTCAGATAAAGTGGAGATTAGTAAATATTTATAACACATTCAGTCATCTGTACCACGAGGGACTAACAGAATCTATACAAAGAATAACAGATCAATATTGCAATTTACAAAGCCTTTAATTAGTGGAGATCTGTCGAGTAATTTATTTGTTTTAAGTAAAACTATTGAGATATTTTCACTGAAATGACTTCACACATTGACAGGTCTTGTAACTAATTACACAGAACTGATAATAAAAAGTAATTCAATTTTCCCTTCTTGCTAATGAACTATAGTTCTACTAGTCGGCCAATATTTACACCTTATATAAATACAAACATGGTAAATACAATACCAGCAGCTCTAAGTAAATATCCATGAAGAAACATTGTTTATATACTGCAAAGAAACTTCAATTTCTACAATTTACTTGGGTAGTGGCCAACAACACATTCCAAAAGCTGTACTGTGAGACAGGAGGATTTCTTTGGTAACAAAGAAAAGAATACTGAGCTGTTACATGACATCAATCCTTCTTTACGGCAATGAATGTTGGATGATTTCCTCAAAGCTGAAGAGACTTGAGGTGACAGAGATGTGGTTCTGCAGAAGGATGCTAAGGATATCATGGACCGAGCATGTGAGCAACAATGAGGTCTTAGATTGCAAACAAGGAGGAGGCTTATAGATAATATCAGGAAGAGGCAGCCAAGTTTCTAGGATACATAACGAGGAAAGAGGGTCTGGAGAATCCGATACTCACAAGTCAAATAGAGGGAAAGAGAGACAAGGGAAAGCAATGCATGACATACTTGGCAGGCTTAAGCAAGTGGATGACAGAACGTGGTCGAGGGGAGGTGGCAGAGGGAAGGAACGTTGAGAGCTGCAAGGGATAGAGGGAGGTGGAGAGCCATGACTGCCTATGTCCTGAATGGACATGGCACATAGAAAGAAAATAAAGTCAACAAGATAGTGATTCAAGAGAATTTCTAAATGCTGATGAAGGTAGGGAACATAATGGTGATTTTCTGAATGTGGCACAAGGCCAAAAGCATGGGGCGCCCAGTGAGGATCAAACTCACTACTCAGTTGTAATGGTTCTATTGAGACAAGCTTGCTAACCAATACACCATGTCGAGATGCCCTTTCTTTTCTAAATTTAGCTTAGATGTGGCACAAGGCTGAAAGTATGGTGCACCCAGTAAGGATAAAACTCATAATTCAGTTGTAATTGATATAACGAGACAAGCTTGTTAACCATTACCCCATTTCGAAGCAGTTGTGAGACTGACAAGATATTTTGCTGATATGACCTTACATGTTGATAGTACAGGCACACTAGTGATTTTCCATTAAGCTTAGTGCTAAAACCATTCCAGAGTATCTATATAGCTGGACTAAAGGAGCTTCCAAAACAACAATAATAATAATAATAATAATAATCATTCAGTAATTCAATAAGTATGCACATAGTACTGTTGTGACAAACTAATACTTAAGAATACTAGGTTATTAACCATTAACGTACACCAAAGCACTATCACTATTTTTCATATTCAATTTTGATAAATGTTTGAGCAGATTTGCTAGAATTTACATCTAACACTCCCCAAAGACGTGCAATATTCCATTTTTTTTTTTCTTTGGTCGGCAAAGTGATAGATAAGTACAGCTTGGTGGTAAGTGGATTTTATATCCATGATTCTTGCCCAGCAGTCCAACTCAAAGACAAGCTGAAGAGTTGTGCTGAATAAGAATTTAGCAATCTTTTAATAAACTTATTAATGAGTCGTGTGCTTGTAATTATGCCTGGAACAATGAGGCATCAAACTTTCAGTTGGTCTACCTGAATATATGAACCAATTTGGGCATGTTGGTTTGGTGTAATAGTTAACAAATTTATCCTGCTAAATTAATTACAAATGAGTAGTGAATTTGATCCTCACTAGGTGATCCATGCTTTCAGCCTTCTGCCACACGCTTACACTTATTAAATTGCTGAAATCATAATGGTTAGCAATCTTGCTTAATCAGTTATGACTGATAAGCAGTTC